GGCCCTTTTAATGTACAATGAGACATCCACCACACCTACACTGGCCTTTCATGCGAAGCGTTGGGGGACTTCTATAAATCATAACCTCAAACTCAAGGCACATTCTGCCCTACCTGACATAGTAATCAAAAACAGAGGTTCTACACTACATGACAGTATGAAGTTTATGTTCTTAAGTTCTCAATAGAAAACGCATATACGATGAACCCCATAGCAAGGAAAGTTGAGTATGGGGAAACGTAAACATAGATACCACTCTCCCTGTTGGATTTCTTGCTTCTTTCTCTGCCTGCTGCTTTGTCCGTTTTTCTCATTGTAGACTGGCGATTCCTTTTCTCCCTCTCTTTTCAGCTTGAGTTTGAGAAAAAAACTTTGAGCGTAATTTTGACCGAAATTGTCAACTTACTGAATATACTATTTCATACTTAAAACCAGAAGTTATTGAAAGAATCCTTCAACTGGTCCTCGCCTGTTGATTTCCAACTTTCTGAAGCGTTCCACAGCAAACTCGCCCAGTTGCCAACATCCTACATGCAACCATGTGCGAAAACCCAACTGAAACAAATGATCTAAGGCTTCTCCGGTACTTCATCCTATTTTATTCCCTTTTATAGAAGACGATTAACAGTCGGCAGACCTCCTTGATAATGCTGTATGCTTCAAAATGGATTCCATGCGCATTACTCCATCGTTATTGGATAATAGTCCCTCAAACGTTCATTTCTTTATACAGGAACAAGTAATTCTGATGGATTACATCAGTATTTCTGAGTAAGGTCACCCTACGATTGGGAAATGCGAGGACTTACATGCTCACATGGATTACATGGTCATGCTAACACTTACTGTTACATAAGATCGATGATGTGGGTTTTCGTCCGCCAAGGGTGCTACAAACATGTGAACTGATGTCAAAACAAACGCTTATCTGACAAAAAACGGAACGATACCGCCAGGTTATCCATTTAAGTCACATGTTACGCAAACGCCGAATATTGCACGATTTTAGTTTCACTTTATTGAGGAAAAAGAAGGGTGAATGGAGGCAGCCGAAACTCACAAACAATCTGTACGTACTGTGAAGTGATATTTTTCTGTTCTTTTTATAACCCGTCATCGCTTTTGATATTATAGTAAACCCTGATGTTATACCTTCTGTATCATTCAGGACAGCTCAACTACTGGAGATTTCTTCACCTTTATCAGTTTGATGATGCCTGTAAACTGGCTTCTCTCAGGTTAAACTATTAATTTCGGGATAAAATATTTATTTATTTATAAATGTTGGCCTGGTGGTCATCTCGAAGTAACTATTTAAGGAATAGACCATGGCTGAAACCACCCTCCATGAAGGGTAAGCAGTTTTACTGCTTTCACAATACTTAACTACAACAGGTGAAAGCAAAAGGTGTTCACTGGACTAAAACCTCATAATTATGTAAACATAGGATCTGCTCACTATAAAAGTGGCCGGCAAAGTCCAACACTTACCAATCGCAAGGCTGTCACGACCCGTGGAAACGGCGAACAAGATGCCCCGGAAGTCCGCTTGGCGCAATCAGGTAAGTTGATTGCTTCTGGAAGTCGGAGCTGGAGAAGTGAAGACATTTGGCTTCCAGCCGTAATATTTATCAAGAACGTGTATCTCTGATGCGAAATGGTACTAACGTGCATGAATTATACAGTTCTGGAATCATCAATGAAGTACAACAAGTGAACAACTTGTGCACACATTCCCTCGTACACTCTTCACCATATCTCAAACAAAAGGTACGAACTGTTGCAATGGAAGTAATGGCCTCAAGCTTCGTTTTTCTTCACTTAATACACGTAGTCTCAAGATACAAACCTGGTTTATTTGTCAACGCCATAACAATACTTTCACTTGTCCAACTTGTAAATTTTTGTCCACTCATTCTGCCGGGATGTTCCATTATATGAACATGCAGTAATTATATCTTGTAGTGATAATAGATAGGGATTGAGATTACCTTCCATGAAGATACATGGAATTCATACAGAAACTTGTTCATCTGTAAAAGTGGGGTGTGCCTGCACATTTAGGAATAAACATTCTTATTATTATTCGACAGCTCATTAAAAAGACCTCAGGGTTTCATAAGTAAAATGTACTTCTAAGTTGTAATTAGCGACTGCGAGGGACCATGAATTTGAAAGTGGTGTCGACGTACACAAAAGAGGTATCAGGAATTCTAGAATGTAACACCGCTCGCGCCAAAATTGTTTCACACGAATAAACTGCATACGCCCTAATCGAATTTCGCCTTAACAAAGCTGTAAGATAAATATAGCAGAATAATGCAAAATTACCGGAAGATTCGCTAAAGCATCAGCGCATGGTAATACTCTTCTAAAGGTTGCCTTGGTGAATAGGCGTCTCCCCAAAGACCACCGCGATCTCTCGTCTGCCCTGCGTATTACGTTTTGGAAACTGCTTTAATCTTTATCCTAGAAATCACATTTGCCAGTGTGCACCATGCCACAAAACCTTGTGACGAATGCACACACCCTAAGGTCATGGCTGTACTGCCTGCCCCACCCTCAAGAATATTGGAAGATTCAAACAATAACCGAATGATTCCTAATTTCGAACCGAGCCTGCTACAACACACCTCTTATATGCCATGAATAACGGTATCTTATATATAGCTTAACATTGTACATAATGGTCATCTCTCGTTACCAAAATGATCAAGTCTGTAAAATGGTTTGTATTCATGTAACCTATGTTGTATGAAATACGTATTATTATTATTACTACTATTACTGTCAGCCGCTGACGTCCGGCAACTTCGAAGTCGTTTCCTGGCCCGACTAACTAAACGTAGGAGGCAAGATTGACGTGTGTGATGCGAGTATTTAGGCCGGAGACCGGAAGAAAAAGACGATGAAGAATACGTTTTAAGATGTATATATATATATATAAACACATATACATATATCTTGACGTCTACAATGACGGCATTGACGGACTAATTGGTCAAACATCAGTTTGACTGTAGACGCAATTAACGTGAAAGGCATTTTAATTGGTCCGTTTCTAGACAACTCTATGCGTTCTCTATCCCTAAACTACCCTTCCATCGGCGGAGTGTTACTTGTGGTCGATCTGCAGCTGTATTGCCTTTTTCCCGCAACTATCTGACCAGCGCAGTTAGAATTTCCCCTCTTTTACCACAGGATCAGTAGTTTTCCGGGCTTTCTTTCCGCGTACAATACTGAGCGCGCCTGGTAGGATATCTCGGAAGGGCTTTAATAGTCAAGCTTTTCTCGGATCATGAGCGCTATCGTAGGCGGTTCTAGTCCAAGCGTCCGATCCAACTGCGACATCGTACTTGGTCTTCCTCTATCTTCCAATAATCGATCTTTCCGTCACCCTATGATCTCCAGCAGTTTCTGGTGTCAAGTTTCGAAGAGTTTCAAAGTAATTCATAACATAGCTTTAGACGTCCCGCTAAGCACTGAGTAGATTATCTTTCTGTGTCCGGTGTAATTCTGACGGCTTGTAGGAGGGCGGGACAGCCTTTTTACTCACAACATACATTTGCCAGAAATCAACGTTTCGGAGATCTGGTCGAAAGTGAATCATCACACTGGACCGTAGTAGTTAGATATGCATTAGCATTACGTATTTAGTTTTTAATAGCTCGGAATGGGTTCTCTTCAAATAAGGGAGGGCGATGGATACTCTTACACTAGGATGCAGTTGAAAGAGCTGGTTAGCACTGCTCACCACTTTTTCAATCTTTCACCTTACTAAGAGTATAAAGGAGCGATAACGAAGTGGCTCCACACTCACCTGCTTCGCAATTCAACTTTGTTCCACTGAATACCGGTACAGAACGCGTTACGCTTCAGGGACTTTATAGATTGAAAATAAGCAGTGCGGCGCTGACACATATTTGGGCTTTAATACTCCACATGGCGTCCTATGGTCGTTTTCCATGGTCAGCTAACATGTATCGACAAATGCAATGGAAAGACTCCCACCTTCAATAGAATTCTTGTTATTTCACAGTCTAGCACTCGTGTACTTCTACGAAGGGCGAACAAACAGTGAGTGGTATTCGCTTCAATCAAGTCCTTATTTCAACACGCGTGCCCCTTTCAGGCTAACTATAGAGCCAATCTATTTTCTACTTTGCTAGCCTTCTTACCATATTTCTAGATATCTCATTCTCTACTAAGCACTCACGATTTAAAGATTGTTGCGGAGGCCAGAATATCCATTATTGGCAACCCCTTTTATAAAATTGTATGGATGGCACTTGGAAAGTTTGCTTATGCTAGGAGTGAGAAAACTAGAAATGACGCTGGTAAATAATAGCGGTGGAAGTAGCTTTATTCTGCTGGAAGTAGTCAGTTGTCCTATCTCACTGCTGACAGGAACTCTAGAGTGCAGTGTTTTGACACTAGTGGAATTATCAAAACTCACAGATAGTCTGCGAAGAAGAATTGGGGTGTTGTTTGGTTCCTGTCAAGAAAGACCCTGCAGTTCGAGATTTCCACATCGTATAGTGATGTTATTGGTCGCCATACATTAGAAATATGTCCTTTTGATAAATATAATGAAGGCCTGCCGAGAAGGCTGTTGAATTAGCTCACAAATAGAGTTTATTTTGACAAAAATCCTTGGGCTTTTAGTACATCTTGATTGAATTAATGTGATGACATATACTGTCTTTCCATAATTCTGTAACTCAGTTATGAAGGATATTGCTTCAGGCTGCAACATGTAGATCACATAAGTCTTGGAAGAGTTTTCGTTGGTTAGCGGTTACAGATTTATTGTGAGATCTACGCAGAGCTTAGAAGTTCATACTGACATAAGTAGTATTCATCATGTGGAAAATTGGCGTGTGGCTTTGAAGGAACAGAAACTTTGAAGTATGGTTGTTTTCAATGTTTTCTATTGTTCCTGTAAGACTAAAAACAAGAGCAAACAGAAGCGAAACTATTTCCAGTTCTTTGTTTCTGAGATGAACGAATGTTACAGATATAAAGAGGTCAACCAAGAAATTCAAACTGTATCTCAACACTACAATTACAACAATTCTGTTTGTTTGGCTTTTGAATTGTATTTTGTTTTACGCAATCCAACTTGCAATGTTTCGAATGCAATTTGTCTTTCCGCTGATCATTGTTTTTCGACAATTACATTATCAAGGTTTGTTGATCACCTGTTAGTTTTTGTGTTATGTGAAATTCTGAATGGAGAACTGAGGATATATGGTCGTGTTTGCAAAATTGTTTGTCTGTTTGTTTAATTATAACGTACTTCATTACTGTTAGAATACCCCTTGTCATATTATGCCTCTCTCATCCTAAAGAACACAACAAAAAATGAATCTGTGCTATTATATGAGTGCTCATATTGTTGATGAATCCGGTTGGTAGTTTTATTAATGTTGAGAACGATCACAGTTATTGTTAGTGTCATTGTATGAGACAACTGGCTGACTGTGAACCGTGTACCAGCAAGGTTATGTAGCATGAAAAAGTGTCAGATACCTTGGGTGCTCCTCTCTTTATCTGGTGCATCTATTGCAGCCGTTGAGGTCAAGTCCCGAAGATTAGGATTCCCCTTTCGTCAAACTGCATGCTATGAGTTTTAAGTAGTTTATTTTTAACTATTGGGTGATTCGCAGTGAGGTTTTGACTTTCTCATGCCGCTTTTAAGACGTTACTAGCAACTGAGTGTTAAACTCGATGAGTCATTCATATTGGTCTGTCCTATTTGTTGTGTCACGTCTTTGAACACAATAACCACTATTCTCTGAATCAATATTTACTTTTCATAAGCATATCTCAAGGCAGAAAATCTATAAATTCTGGTAAATTCATTGCATTTCAACCCGGATACTTAAGCGTCACACCATATTTGACAAATGGCACGCTTGGAATTTTCTAGCATTCCTTCAAATTAGACTTCAGTGTTTTTCTTGAAGAAGTCCTTGAATACTCATAAAAGTTGTCACCTAAAACTTCCGAAAAATTGAAAATGTCCTAAGAATTAACAAAACTTCCAAAGTTAGTGCACAGTACTTGTAAATGTTGGGTGGCAATCGAAGCCATCGCATGTTTACAATTTGAAATGGGTATGATGCTTTAAGTTTTCTTCGAACAATAGATTTACTTTAATGAGCTGTAACGCCAATGACAACCTTTTCTTTTACTGTCTAGTGTTTGGTCATGAAATCACTTTGACTTAGACATTACAGAGGACTTAGAATTTGGCCATCACATGTATAAACTGGAGGGACTTCTAAATTGTGGTACGGAAGCGTTCGTGATTTCTATCGTATCTTATAGTAAAAGTTTTATTGAGTAAACCTGTAAGAATAATATGCTATAAAACAGTGATTTGTGACTGTAAACGTCTCTCAAGATGATAACTGTCCGTGTTCATCATATTAAAAGCTGAAAGCCTTTGGAAATTTCGCTGTGATTTTGTGAAGTGTTATGACAGCTAATTAAGTTTTCTGACTCATTCGACTGTATAATATTACTATTTTTGAATTTTGGACAACCTAGAATCTTGTGACAACAATGTTTCATAACCTTTTGAGGAGAAATCACCTTATTTTGAGATGTGAAATATTGGCTTACGAGCTTGATCTACCAATTGGCCTCGTAGGTAAATCTCAGTCTGTCTACTTTGACGTGGTCAAATGAGTATTATCATAAGCCTTTATTTAATTAGCGTGGCTGATGGTTTACAGTGCACAGGCATGCGCTCGATTGAGTTACATTCTTGTTTTAAACTGATTTTAAGTGGTTTCCTGAGCAGCCAGTGTTGAGTATTCATTTTCAATTGGTATAACAAATAGACCCATTTATTTGCAGCTTATTAGCTCAGATATAAGAATTGTGTTTTACATAGGGTAGAGAGGAATGAAATGGCCTTATTTTTTGTAAGTATTTGTATTAGAACAGATATTTTCGTAAAATATTGTTGGTAAATGTGACTTGGCGTGTAAGATCTTTACTTTTCACAATTCCAGGCGAGATAGTCTATACAAATCTTGAAATTCATTATTGCCTGCGAGTTTCTGAAAGGGTTGGCCACGGTTGCTTTAATCGCTTGAGTAAAATAAAGATCTCTGATAAAAACAAAGTAATCATCTTGAAACTTCAAACTCTGTAAGTTGACAAAATGAGCTGTTCGTTATCATCATAGATAAGGTAAATAGGTCACAAATGAAATCCTTTTCAAGTTTACTATTTATACCTGAAAAATACTGGTGAATTCTTTTCTTTTCATTTATAAAAGTACTTATTTAACAATGGATATTTGAGAGCCCCATTTTATTACTCTATTCGTTTATCTTGATAAGTGTATTAGTTTTGAAAGAAAGGTCTTAAAAAGCAGGTGTAACGAGAAACGTTGTTCAGTATTCTCCGAAATATCTTGATGCATCTTCGTTAAGGTTTCCCAAAATATATGTGGAAAGACGCTGCAGGAACTTTTGGCCTGCATTATTACGTAGGTGTTAAGTATGTGTGTTGAAGGTAAACGAAGTTTTCAGTGGGAAATACTCACTGACTAAATTTTAACACTACCCATAATTCGTTAACCCACTATGCGGACAATACAGCAGTTGGATTCATGGCTCCCTACATGTTAGATGCCACACTCAGTAATGTGGATCAAGGTTCATTCAGGCCATGCAACCGCATAACCAAGCAATATAAGTCACTGAAAATCTCATCAAATGACAATTGGTGAGTATCCGGTGAGTTAGAGAAAACGAAATATGGTCTCTTAGGACATTTCCTTCCGATGTGAGATGCGCCACGAAATATAAGTTCCTCTCTTGCGGATGGTTGATATCAAAAGTTGTTGGACTCTGATCACATATCTGCACTTGTTTTGAAAACATGGAAGTCTGATCGAAGGATATTTGTATTACTTGTTTGCAAGACTTGCTTGTATTCTTCGTAGTAACACTACTTTTCTGTTCACTAAGCTGTTATTCTGTGTGGTGTTGAAGTGGCTTTGTGTAAATTCATAAGTCAGCAGCACACTGCTGATAATACTTGATATTCGTGTTCTAGCGCAGTGTTTTCAAGTTTCGTCCATCATATTCCATTAGATCTCCGAAGGCTTACACAGGGATTTCTCAGTTCCCAGGTGTATTGCTTCGTTAGTGGCTTTGTAACTGTCTCATAAAAGTTTACAAAATTTCACTTTTAACATTGTTTAACACATAATTTTGGTGTACGTCATCGGAATCGTGGAAATTAGAGGGGTAATAAACTTCTAACTTCAAATCATCTAACCTCAACAGTCTTTTCTTTTAGTCGTGAAGTAAGACGCAGCATGTTTACTCTTCTATGCACTTCTACTACAGCATTTGTTTTGTAAATTAGAAATGCAGTTAATAGTCCAAGACAGACGTAAACATGGCTCCCATAATGCAAGTGGTAGGCATGCATGTAATTCGCATCTAACTATAATAAGTGAGCTCCATGTGATAAAATTTCTGGTCTGTTTGAATCGTGCTCCAAACTACATGTAAGAAATTTTGCTATCAACACCCTTTGTCTACTCGTACAAAAAGCTCCTTTGGTCAGAGCTCGGATATCTTGGGCCAAGAACATATATCTTGCTCGTGAAACCAGCACACACGGCCCAAGTAGGGTTATTTCCTTAACCTCACCTAGTTCATATGACAAATCAACAAACTTCTCTTTTTGATTTTCTGGATACTTGATTGGTGATTCTCACTACCTAATAGGTGTAGGTATAGCAGTGAGTTCCCAGGTCAGTAGTACACCACCTAACTTGATGCCAGTTGATAGTCACCTATGCTTTGTGAGATAGAATAGTGTGGTGGTAACTAGGAAAACTGGTTAAACTAACTGTTTCTCTTTCATAATCACTGCTTAAGCACCTGCTAACTGCAGTTTTAATGAGCTGAGGGGTGCATTCTGCCATAAAATATCTATTATCCTACTAAAAACCAAACATTCACATATGTTTATTACAGTAGGCGACTTCTGTTCACTCATCTGTAGGCTAAGCCAGATGCAAAAGGCACTAGTTACTTTCAAAATCTCAGTCAAACGAAGGTATGATGGCTGTTGCTTGGTAGAATACCATTCGAACAACCACATTTTTCTGGCCGAGATGAATTTCGAATATAAAATGGATGTTAACCGATATGTTATCCACAAACATTCCTTCAACGGTGGATGCAGACAGACTATACCACTATCAGTTATCGCTGGGGATGGTGGATTAAAGTTTACTACTACTTGAAAAGGCATTTGCTTAGATAATGGTCTTGAATCAGTTCAAGCACTCGTTTATCTGTCCCAAATGGAAGTAGGAGAACCATAACTAATAGAATACTCCGATAACATTTGAGCCATAGGGATTCTAGAACTGCCTTCTAAGCGAAACTAGCTATATAGTTACTGCAATAGGAAGACGTCATTTTTCATGAAGGAGCCTGATATCATGTGTAGTGTGATGCAAAAATAGCTTTAGAAACCGTGAATTTTCTTCAGAAAAAAGGTTAGAAAGAAGCACTGAATCTCTACAGCTTCTTTTAAAGCGATTGGTGGACTTGGATGCGTTCCTTAAGTCTTTGAATGCAATAAGGAGTGGAAGCAACTTGAACATAGTCTGCACAAGGGCCCTGAGCAGTAAGAGGCAGTGATCTAAATAGATGGAAAATGTCGGGGGAAAAGTAACAGGGGACTTATCAAAAGAAACGACATGACAAATTCTGTGTTTAGCGAGGCTATATTGGAGGAAGATAAGTCTGCGATTCCCTTGCAGTAAGATAACTTTAACCAAGGATGGTTTAACTCGCTCACAGTTATTTCTTATTTGCTGCTATTAAGCCATATCTCGAACGAATCATTTGGATAGATCCTTTATCTGTTTTCAAAGTTAGGGGTTATCTCAAACCGGTAATTTCAGCAGAATCCAGTAAGTTTACACCAGAATCATTTAAAGACGATGGCTGTGAACCACTGGATAAGGTGATTGAAGTGGTGTACTGGAATCATATGTGGTTGTCTCTGATTAGTCTCAGTCGCTAATTTTTCCAACGTGATAGAAAGAAAAAATCTCTTGTGATATCTAAAAGAAAACCATCCCAATCAACTGGGTCTCATATTTTGGGTTGTACAATTATCAGATGCCCGAAAGGAGCTCTTGATTAGCAAACTTGATAACATCAGGCAGAAATCATAGTTGGTGACCAGTTCCCCCATAATCTATAGGTCTGGGAACTCAAGGTTACCTACCGGC